AGAATTGCTCCGCCATGAATGTAGCTGCCTCGGGCTTCTTCCACATGTCGTTGAAGGCCGTAAAAAGGATAACATCGCTTGCGTTATCTGCATAGGCGCTCTTGATGGACGATAGCGCGGCGGTCTGCTGGTCCATGCCAGGCACAGCGGCGCCATTCGACTCACCCTGCCAGGGCCAGCCCGTCTCTGTAACCACAATACGTTTGCTCTTGTCAGCCAACTTGCTGCGAATCTTACTGACCATAGATGTCACAAACGAGCCTGCCTGATGAGCACCCGTGTTCGGGTCGAAGAAGGGATGGATATTAGCGGCACAGTAGTCCGACTGGTCGCAGAGTTCGGGATGGGCGAGTATAGCGACAAACGTATCCACGATAACGACAGGACCTTGGTACCCAGCGGCCCGAAGCGCAGTGCGGGCTTGGCTTAATGCTGCGAGAGACTGACTCAATGTGGCTCCACCGTTGTTGACCAGTTCATTGCCCACCGAGACAGTGTCAACAATGCTCCAGTCATGGTTCACTCCAGCAGCCATAGTAGAGACGGCCTGCTCGACGGAGTGGATATCAAAGATGCCTAAGAAGAGCTTGTTGCCGTGCTTTTTGGCTGCCGCATATGCCGTTGCTACCTGGTCACAGTCGACACCGTACAAACGGATGACTCCGTAATCCTTAGCGACTAGCGCAAAGTCCTTCTCAACGTCAGCTGCAGACTTGCAGCCTCCAGCACCCTTGTAGGGAGAGTAAGTGACACCATGGAGGGCGCCGCGGCCAGAAACCGGTGGGGACGGCGGAGGAGATGGCGCAGAGGAAGCTGAAGGGTATGAACTAGTCCGAGATGACTTTGACGGGAGTGGAGATGGGATCGGTTCAAAAGTTGAGACGTGCTTTACAGTTGATGTGGATGACGAAGACGGAGTAGATGTAGAATGCTCAATTAGCACATCCTTAGAAGATACGGCGGGAGCGTAGACCGTTGTCGTTGTCGTCGGGGCAGCCGGTGCCTTCTGGGTCTCCACCGACGCAGGAACGTAGACGACTGTCTCGGTGACAGTACGAATTGGCTTGTTATGTTGGTCTACATAGACCACGACTTCAGGGACTTCAGTGATTGTGCTGCGCGCGGTATCAGTCACAGTAATCTTGTCCCTCTTTGACATGGGGTCCCTGTGAGCCCTGTGCCGATGGGCATGATGATGATCTTATACCACATTAGCTGAGATTTCACAGAGAAGCTATGTATTTGAGTATCAACTTACGTAGCTGCCCAGCTGACAGGTGCAGGAGGGATAGGAGAGTAAGAGAAATCGTTGTAAGTCTCATTGTGTCTGGACGTCAAAACGACGAGTACGTTAAGATTAGGAAACCGCGAAATCGAAGAAGACAGATAATGAACGGTCTGAGTTGTTAGCGAGGCAACGATTTACCCAAATGAACAAATGAACGACTAGGAGAGTGAGTGACGAGAATAGAAACAAAAAGGGACATGAATGCGGGAAGTAGACTAGCAAAGGCCGTCAATAGGTATCATCAGTTAGTTACAAGGGTTTCAAGGGGAACAAAAATAGACAAAGGAGTGCAGGTGAAATGCGAAGTGATGTTTGTTGGTAAAGAGTATACCAGGAAACAATATTGATGTTCTAGACTCGAGGGCTGAGGTTCAACGCAAGAAATGGTACTAACGACGTTGAACTTCCTGTGGCGAGAATTGCCCGGGGCACCCAGAAGGAAAGGGAGAAAGAAACAATAGACACGGCCAGACGCGCGTTCCCGGGTAGTCTCAAGGGATTGTGGTGAAGGAATGATGGCGTTGTGTAGGGAGAAAATATTAGAGATCATAATAAGGGAGGGAGCATTGAGGACACCATTGACCAAACCCAATGAAGCGAGGACTTGAGAAATAGCTACTTACTATGTATCTTGATTTATCCGGGCTAGAAGGGATATCAATCCCAATTGTCAATGCCAATGTCAATGTCAATCTCGATGTCGATGTCGACGTTGTCTTGTTCTCGGGATATCTCGTATGACGTTCAATGAAGTTAACGAGAGTTAGACCACTTGACTCCGACTACCCATAAGGTACCCATTCACTGGCAGGTAGAATTGTTAGTTGAAGGAGTGTGTAGACCTGCCGTAAAGAATGAAAATGACGAGTTGCTGGAAAACGTCGAGGGCATGTGCTGCTTCAGGTTCGTCGGGAGCACTAACTACATGTGGGTATGTATATACGAATGTTGGGCAAGAACGCTACAGAATATATGGCCTATGCATACCTTCGAATTGGGATGAGAAGCTACGAGGCATGAGCATGTTTCACACTTGCCTCCAATTATTCCAATAATAGCGGGAAAGAACAAGTCAGTGATTAGGTACCTAAGGACAATGGAAGGTCACGTCAAGTGCATTGGATGTGCTTCATTGAGGTCAGTATGGCAAACAAGGTACCTCTAACGTCCATGAAGCTTAAAAAAAAAAAAAGAACAAAACAAAAACAAACAAACAGTCCACCGTCAGATCTTTGCATTGAACACATGATAGTGTATAGGTACCCTTAGAGAGAATTAGCGATTATTATTCGTGTCTATAATCTGATCTGGGCGATACGCCACTTTTCTGCCCTGTCCTGTCCTGTATACAACCATGAACAGCCCAATTCGTATAGCCTCCCTCACCCGTCCACATTATCATCGGCCATACTTGGGATCGTAGTCTAATAGCCATTATACATGAACAGCAAACATCTTTATGTGTCGTGCCGTATCGTAAACAACATGGGATAACGAATAAGATCACGAGAAGCCGAATGATTCCTAAGCAACCAGTGACGATTGCCTGTTTGGCTTCCGAGTCATGATCTTGGTGATGGCGTGTCGAATCGTCACACCAGCCTTCTCGATCTCCTTCTTGGACAAACCAGACGTGATACAAACCTTGAGGGCAGGCTTGATATTTATATCCTTGGTTCCGATGCTGCCAATCATCGGCTGGCTTTTCAACCGCGTGACGAGCACTCCATTAGCAAGGCACTACGCATCTGTAAGTGGAAGAACTTCAATAATAGGGTGATGACACTGTTAGGAACTTACCTCATCCGTAATATCAAGGAATAGTCGCTCTTGGTCTTCATTGCTCAGTCGCCTGGATGAGACTACCTCAGGTTTGAAAACTAGCAGCATAACAGGGTTTTCGGGGTCGCTTGTGCACTGAACCCAGTCGCTTCGTGGGTCGAGTTGTGCTCTCATCGCTCGGATGTTTTCTCGGCATTGGAGCAGAATGTCAGGGTTGCAGGTCAACATTTGTAGAGTCTCGGAAGCAGTGACAGCAGCCATGGCAGGCAAAGCAGCCGAGTAGGTGTACGATGCAGCATTGATACGCTGGTGTCTTACGACGTCATTCGAACCAGCGCAGAATCCACCTTGAGCACACAAAGGTCCTGCTAGAGATCCAATAATCATATCCACAGCTTCCGAATCCACGTTCTGCGCCTCTGTGAGCCCTTTTCCATTGCGACCGAGCACACCAAAAGACCATGTTTCGTCAAGGGCAATGCGGAACTTGTACTTTTCCTTTAATTCCACCTAGAAATTCCATATTCGTCAGCCGAGGGATGCAACCAAAACGAAGCCCTTATCAACAGGGACTGCTTACAAGCTTGGGAAGATTAGCACAATCGCCAACCATCTCAAAGAGTCCCTCCGTCACAATAAATCTCCTGGTCAGAATCTTCTTTTTCGCCTGCTCCTCGGCTACTTTCTTCATAACTCGCTCCAGGTCTTCCATATCATTGTGTTCATACCATCTAATGTTACTTCGGGAGGCTTCTAGTCCTTTGCGAATCGAATAGTTGACCAGCTTATCGGCGACAATAACATCTCCTCGCTTGCAGAAAGTCGGAATAACACTAGAGATGGTCGAAAAGGCGTGAGAATAAACAATGCTGTTCTGAACACCAAGGAAAACAGCGATGTCGTGTTCGGTTTGCATGTGGACGTCCTGGGTGCCGTAGAACTGAGGTGGGCCGCAGGGTCCAACTCCGTAGGTGCGGAGTGTTTGGATTGCCTTGTCCTTGATGGAATCGCTTGCGTTGAAGTTGTAGAAGTTATAGGAGGCTAGGTTTGTAACAGTCTTGCCGTTAGATAGCTTCACCTTCGGACCAGTCGGTCTATCCCAAGACTATCAGTAATCGCATTCCAACATGATTTGAAGTCGATTCTTACCCAACAATAACAGGCTGCCTCTCGGCTTCAGCTTCCTCAAGCGGGGTCTGGGGAGCGACGAGCGGTTCGGGCTCCCACTCCTTAACAAGCTCGTCAATCTCATCTTCACGAAGCTTCACGTAATTGGGATCGTGGGTAGGATAGGACGGCGAGAGAAGGTATCGAACGAAGAATATGACAAGAATTAATTCTATAGCGGATCGAACTGGATCATTCTGATAGCTCGACTGGATGTATCGTATCAAGACGGCACTTCCGGGGACTTTGTGAAAGGCATGGGATACTTCGTGAAGCGAAGCCTGCAAGTAGGCTTGAGCCTCGTGAAGATCCATCTTTCGTCAATTCAATTCTCTAGTAAGGTGTACAGCAGTCTGGTGTAGAATTCGTAGGAGATTGCTAAAGAATTTGGGCGTGAAATGACATTGTAGGAGAGGGACTGCGATGATCAACAAATTGAAAAAGGGTCCAAATCATTTTCTGGGTTGGCACCCCCAGCTGACACGGTTCCAGGCACAAGGGGTCGCTAAACGTCGCGTCGAATTGAGGCCGCCCTACGACCTGCGCTGCCCCACCTGCCATTTAGTACCGTACGGTAGGTACATATTAATCCTTTAATGTAATTAGGCAGGTACGTACTGATTATCCATACGCCCATACTCCAATGCTGGAACGAAAGTAGTCATGTGATAGCCCCACAACTCATCCGCACGCACCGTGTCATAATCCAACTTACATACATGTATATAATATTCAATAATTAGTCAGAAATCATCAATCCCAGGGCACGATGCCGGAGTGGTCTAACGGGTGAGACTTGAACTGGTCCAAGAGGCGCGAGTCTCCAGGTCACGTGATCTCATGTCTTAGGACGCGCAGGTTCGAATCCTGCTCGTGTCGCATTTTTTGGTCTTAAAACCCAATCAATACTGCTGATGTTTTATTTTGTTTCATTCATCGAGAAATGAAGCCGCCTGAATTTTTATGATTTATTTTTGGCTAGTTCGGCGTCTTGCGGCCCTCTCCCCCATAATTCCGGGACTTGTGTTCTACCCGCAGCTCTATCGGATCAGGCCTAGGAGCAAATTTCAACGTGGGAACACGCAGCCTGGCAGCTAATAGGGGCTACCATTGCGTTTTGAAGTAAAAATCTTATTTATGGTGGTGGTGCTTTAAGGAGAAAATAATATGATTCTTATGACATTGTCTTGAGAAAACAGGTATCTAAAGTCTTTATTAAACGCCCCATTCTTCATTCTTCTAAATGAAAAAAAAAAGTCCCGCCAATAATCAAGCCGACACTTCCCTCTCATCGTTTCCAAAGACTCCTCGCTTAGCCGGTTCTACTCCTTCTCGGACTTGGTAGTCTTTCTCGCCTCGACTACTCTTTTTTGATCGGCAGAAGAGAAAAGAGTCGTACCCTGTTGCAGGGATTTGATGAGCATGGGAACAGCGTCACCTTTGAAGTCGTCGGCACTACGAATCTTATCTAGGTCTTCCGCAAATTCCTTGGTGCTTTGCTGGAGATAATAGGATGTGAACTCTTGCGAAATCGTGTCCTTATTCGACATGTTTGCTTCGCTTTATTTTTTTCTTGATCACTTGTATGGCGTTGGATCTCAATGGCGACAGTCGGGTGCAGTGAGGATTGGTGTAGGATTGGTGTGAGCTTGGTAGGTCTGCTGTAGCTCCCAGAAGAAGTTGAAAATAATTGAATCACCCATCAATCTTACAACAGTTTTTAAGTCCCCACAACACTTACACACTCACACACTTCTACAGTACTAAACTCTACCAACTACATATAATTCGTGTTCATTGTGGCAAAGAATTGCAGCAACAGGCGAAAAGTAATAATTTCTCCCTGTTGCAAAATTGTATTGTTAGTCAATTCAACTTCGGATTCAATTATGTAAGTTGCCTGAAATTATCTAGATAGTCTCCAGGAGTACATAGTTTCAAACTCCCCCGCCTTGCTCGTGTTTCAAAGGAATATCTCTTGTCAGCCACATTACGTCAACTGCGTTCTCCTGAATACATCGCTGAGTGGCCACTTTTTCAGTTCATGAATCCTCGCTACGTGTATTTTAGGTACCAAGTAACGTGACATTATATATCTTATTTCTATTTTATTGCCTTAAGCCTCTTTCTGTGCAGAGAGATTTATAGATACGGAAGGAATTTAAGAATACGTTATCATCTTGCAACTATAATAACATCAAAATGGCACCACACGAAGGTCTGGTACATCTAAAGGAGTACGACTGGAGGGACAGCAATGTCGAAAATATCGGGACAGAGCTTGACCACAAGGTCAAGTATAATTCAGCAGCCACGGAGCCTGCATGGCAACAAGTTGGTCAAACACCTGGCCTTCATATTTGGCGAATAGAGGATTTCGAAGTCGTCCCCTGGCCAAGGGAGAGATATGGCGATTTGTACGAGGGAGACAGCTACATCGTATTACACTCTTACAAAGTAGGAAGCCAAGACGGGGAGGATAAGCTGGCCCATGATATCTTCTTCTGGCTTGGGAGTAAGACGTCCCAGGATGAGGCGGGAACAGCCGCTTACAAGACAGTTGAACTCGATGAGTTTTTGCACGGCGTAGCTACGCAGCACCGGGAGCTACAAAAGGAGCCGTCCGATGATTTCGTAGCTTTATTCCCTCGCATCCGCATTCTGTCTGGAGGTGTCCGCTCTGGCTTCACGCACGTTGAGACCGAAGAGGAACCTAAGGAGACCCTCATGCTACTCAGGATCTTCAAGCACCCATCTGCCAAACGGGCTGACTCGATCATGGTCTACGAGGTCGAACCTACCTGGCAGAGTCTTGACGAGAATGACGTCTTTGTATTGGAGCGCAATGATAAAATCTGGGTCTGGCAAGGCAAAAATTGTAGCCCCATGGAGAAGGCAAAAGCTGCCCAAGTTGTTCACGATATGACGATTGCGAAGCATATTGATGTCGAGGTACTGTCACAGACGGAATCGAGATCGCGAACTGTGGTTGCCATGCTGGGTGGCGGGGATGCCGAAGGCCCGTTCAAGGCTCCACGGCCCATTGCCTCGTCTGAAAGTGAGGGCACTACCCACCGCCCTCGTAGGCTTTTCCGCCTATCGGATGCATCTGGTCAGCTAAGGTTTGACTTGGTGAAGGAAGGCGGCGCGATAGATAGTTCAGACCTAGACAGCAGCGATGTCTTCCTGCTTGACACCGGTTCAACTATCTGGGTCTGGCAAGGTTTAGGAGCAAGCAAGGCAGAGAAGGCTATGTGGATCAAGGTAGCCGAGTTATATATTCGGCAGGTTGGAGAGGTATCCGACGACGGCCGAGCTTATCTGAGTCCGATTTCCAAGGTAGTAGAGGGCAATGAGAGCCCAGCGTTTGCCAAAGCTCTCGAGACTTGGTAACAAGCGTTTCAAATCATACTGTATAGGCGTCAGCTTCTACTCATGGTTTCCCCGTTATTACTTTTAAAAACAGTGCTTTGAACATTTGACGGAGAAACTTGAAGAGATGGTTGGTGTCTTCAAGCTGAAATTTAGGGGCTTCTCCCAAATACCCTTCAACGTTAAGCACCACTGTTACTTAATATACGAATGTACAAGAAACTACAGTTAAGATCTTACCAGGTAGTCTTTACATGCGAGACTTTGGAATTCAAGTTAGTTATGTAGAACAGTGACATAACAATATGACCATGTAGCTTGTGACGTTGAATCAAACCACCTAATCCCTTCCCACATAGAGGGTCCTTCACCATAATCAGACAGAAATAAAAACCGCCAACAGCAAACTCGCAGCAAGCATACCGTTTCTACTCCCAGTCCACCCCTCTCCTTCTCCCCCTACTGCTAGCTTCGCCGCACTACTTTGGCCCTCAGTCACAGATGGAGTCACGGAACCAGCGTCACTAGTCGCAGTTAGGGTTGCACTTCCACTTCCGCTCTGGCTCTCCGTCCCCACGGAGCCCCTAACACTAGAGAATCCTGGATCTAACAACCCCGTAGCTTGGGAGGGATAGTATGTGTATGTTCGACTCCGGCTCGGATCAACGCTTGTAAGAGGCGGCTTGTCGAGCGTGAGCACACCCCACAAGCGCGCAACATCACTACCTGTCAGCGTGAAGGGCGCGGTGGACTCCACGGTTGGGCCTGTAGTAGGTCCGATGGCAACAGCGCCCAGGGAGATGGTACCGTGGCATGTTGCTGCCGTTGTGCCGGAGAGCTGGCAAGCGGAGGTTGCAGAGCTATGGGTTGGTTAGGATGGAGGTTACTAGATAGGGTGGTTGGAGAGGTACAAGATAAGAGAAAGAGGGGAGTAGATGGGGCGACAGTGAAACTCACATCGTAGACTCGACAGTACGTTCGAAGTGCATAGTAGAAGGGCCCTCGGCAAAGGTAAATGGGAGTAGAGTGCCGCCACCGATGTGGCAACCTCGTGTCACTGACGCGCAGAAGATTGTGTACGTGGTCTCAACATCATTCTAGATATTTCCTCACAAGGGTCAAAATTAGTAAGCCAAGTCGTATGAGCCAGAGTTAGATCTAAGTTTAAGCGTACTCAAGAGACCAGAGAGCAAACGGTGAGTGAAATGGGGGCTTTTCCGATAGATGGTGTATGACATACACTGGAGACGACACTGCCTCGTAAGAAGGACCATTGCGTTGCATTGTAACCTGGGAGGAAAATGGGGATAGTGGTTGGGTTCGGATTTTGGGCTTGGATGAACTGCGCGAAGACGCATATGAATAGTAGGAATGGTAGTGTGTGTTGTATACGAGAAAGGCTGGCCGTTATAGGGGCCATGATGAGTTCAATTCCGGGTTGTCAAGGTCCTTTTACCGCCTATTTACATATACCGGGCCGCGTCTATAAAGAGAAGTGATGAGACAGCACACTCTGTTGTGATGACTTATCCCTACAAGCGGTGAGGCGAACAAGTATCTCAGCCTCCTTAAGCTAAGTTGAAGGACATATTGACATATGTAGCTAATGTCTGATTACCTAGGTATGTATTTGGGTGTGCGAGCTTCAGATAGAGCGCGATTCGACTGTTGCCAACGTAGCCATGGTAGGCTTATCAGCAAGATCGATATTATCACCAGCCTGTGACATGATAACCGGTTTTTGCCTGTGACGCTGTTGGAATGGTAATGGTGGTATCACTCTATCATCGTGCAGATGAGGTTGCATTTACTTACGGATTTAGAAATACATACTCAATGTGGTGCAATCAATTGATATTCGCGTTCTTTATCGAATGCTCATTGGGTACTCGCCCGTCTATGTTTATATCTCTAATACAACCATAGATCTAAAATGCTCTTCTCTAAAATAACCATAGAGATGGAACCAGTCTATCCAACTTGTTCAGGTCTCGTTAACCTGAGGGTATATATCGATGAACCCATGTAAAATGACCAACGATAAAGAAAAATTAAATCCACCTCATCATATCCAATGAATCCAAACATGAAAAGTCATTGTGGACTCCTCGTAAAAAAGGTACCACCAGGGGTACTCAATGTCAGTTCATGAACTGACTCTTCAGTCGTGATGTCAACGCCAACTTCAACAAACATCATAATAGTTGTCGTAAGCTCGACCAAAGGTGAGCGTCGTTGTACGATAAAATACAATAGCGATCGCGACCCGTAAGCACGATCTAGCTATGCTCACAAATCATGTGAAATTTTAATCAGAGGGGGGCGTCGACAGGACACCCTCAGCCTTCTCGTGCATGCTGACGGTAGCTTCCTCGTCCGAAAGGCTGAATCCATACTCGCGAGCCTTCTGCTGGACTTCAGCTTCGGTAAGGCGAGGCAGCTCTTTGGCAGCCTTAACATAGCTAATCTTCTCGGCGTATCCCTTAGCGAAGATAACATCGATCTCT